TCGATATACCTATTATATCGACAACAATTGCCCAATTTTTGTGGAAATGAAGTAAAATACTTTTTATTTTAGTACCTACCCTTTTTGATTTCACCCAACCTATAATTTAATTTAAACAGTCAGAAATAGATACATACTTGTTTTCTAACAAGTCATAGAGCTTTTTATGTCCTCTTTCTTAATTAAATCTCTCATCAGAAGTATAGAAGGGATAATAAAATACTGAACTAACGATATATTTATTTTCAGACAACCATGGATATACTACCTACTGTCATCGAAAACTTGTTGTCCGCCATTCGCAATACTGTTACTGCCAGTCAACGCCAGGATGACGGTACCATCGCTCTTCCGTTGTTCGACCCGGGCACTAGCGATAAAGCAGCCGCCGCAGCCTGGAGCATAGAGATCGAGGGGACCAGCATGGAGTTCGGTTGGAGCAGCATCGCCACGGTAGCAAAGGTAGGTAAAGAAAGCCCTTGAGGGCTCTGCATTACTTGGCTTGAATCGTGTGAACCTCAAAACGGTAGAACCTGGGAGAATCTTAAATCGGAAATTATCGCCAAAAGAAAAATCTTTCCGAGAAGTTATACAAAGCTGTGGCATACTCGAAAATGTCCGAATCTGTTGATTCATACGCTGCAGACGCAGATTCATAAAAATAAGATTGCTTAGAAATACTAACGTATTGTTCACGGAAGCGCAAAATAATTGAGTTAGTATGTGGTAATGTTCGCGATGTAAATGTTCGGATGGCATAATATTTCAATAGCTGTGTTCGAACTACTTCCGATTTAATAACGTTATTTAGTACTTATACTAAACCGAAAAAGCGTCAAATAGAAACTATTTCGGGACCTAGCATCTCTAAACGTTCGAAAGTAGGTAATGAGAGTTTGTCTCAGAAACTAACTATGCATTTGTGTGGGCAGTCAGGTCTACCTACCCGCGAACAACCTAAACCTATTAAAACGTGTGTTATTTGTAAAAATATAGGGCATGACGAATCTACAGACTTTTTTAAGAACATGAAAAAAGAAAATACTGTTGATTAAAAAAAAACCCCTTAGATATCCGGTTTAGTAACGTGATTACTAAATCCGATTTGAAATCGACTAAAGTTTATTTGAATAATATTTGCATATAATCTCTCATCGATACTGTAGCAAACTGTAGTATAAATAAGGAGACAATTGCAAAACGCCTTCGTTGTCATCTAAAGCCATTTTCCTTTTATATCACTGGTATAGGTAATGCTTAGTATACACGTTTTTGCGATGATCACAATTCCGGTACGATTTGAAGATTTGTGTATAGAAATAGATGTTTGCACATATGTATTGCAACATAATGATATTAATATATGTAGTCTGATAACACGGGGTGTAGACTATTGAAAAAAAATATGTCCTTATCAATTAATGAAATGAATTCAAGTCAATTAAGGGCCAGTTTTTTGATCCGTAGTCAAATATCATTTCACCATTTGTTAACTTGACTATAGTTAAAACAATAACAAGTTGTTAACTCGTTATTTCGTTTTTTGATGCAAATTAAACCATAGCCAAATTTAACCGTTTCTGACCCGTGGAACACCAAAGTGGTTCACCTAGGTGTTCCACTGTTAACTTTTTGTACCCATGGATCACCTAGGTGTTCCACGGTTAATTTTGTTTACCCCTGGTTCACCTACTCTTTTTGTTGATCTACTTCTACGGCTAACTTTTTGCACCTCTAAATATTAAAATCTATTGGATTATTTCTACACAGCCAAAAATTTAAAACTCTTTGGGTGTAGGAAATTGATGGGAATCGAGACCGCTGACCATCCTTTTGTCCTCTACTCATGTACTGGCAATTTTTTTTAAAAATGATATAATGAAAACATTAAGTGTATTTAGACAGCATCACCGCGTTGACCCGTGGAACACCAAAGTGGTTCACCTAGGTGTTCCACTGTTAACTTTTTGTACCCCTGGTTCACCTAGGTGTTCTGCCATTCAAAATAATGTACCCGTAGTTCACCTATCTAATGAAACACAAGTCATTCTAAATAATTCAAAAACTTAATGTAATGTTAAAATTGATAAAATTAAAGATTTTCAGGACAAAACAAGAAAGAAATCTGTTTTGGTAATGTAACAACTTAATAAGAGACAGAAAACAGACTTTACACCATAATTAGTAGTGTCAAATGATAGGTTCGCATAAAAAAAAAAACGCCTTATTAAGTAGCTTTAATAATGCACTCACTATAGTGATTTCCTTATTAACTAATTGCATTTGTATGTTGAGAATATAGTTATCATTTTCGAGAATTATTTTTCTTTTTTAATAGGAATTTTTATTATAGGTCTAAATAATGTCACTGTGTTTAGCGCTCGGTTTCATTTGGCATTGAAGCCTTCGGTAACATTATTGGTACGGTGATGCTGTCTTAATACAGTTAATGTTTTCATTTTATCATTTTTAAAATAAAAATACTAGGTAATAAAAAAAAATATAATTGATAAATAAAAAAAAACTCATATTTTTTAAGTGGCCAGTACATAAGTAGAGGACGAAAGGATGGTCAGCGGGCTCGATTCCCATCAATTTCCTACACTCGAATAAAGTTTTAAACGGCATTATTGGCTGTGTAGAAATAATCCAATAGATTTTAATATTTAGAGGTGCAAAAAGTTAGCCGTATAAGTAGATCAACGAAAAGAGTATCCACAGAAAAATTATACCTAGGTGAACCAGGGGTAAACAAAATTAACCGTGGAACACCTAGGTGATCCAGGGGTAGAAAAAGTTAACAGTGGAACACCTAGGTGAACCACTTTGGTGTTCCACGGGTCAGAAACGCCCACTGCAGGGGCTCAGGCCTTCCTTATGGATGGTTAAGGAGGATGGGCCATGACCGTCCACGCTGGCCCAATGCGGATTGGAGGGTATTTACGACTGCAAATGCAGCCGGGACCAAAGGCTTAACGTGCCTTCCGAAGCACGGAGCAGCTAGAGATAATAATTATTTGGTCACCCATCCCGTGACCGACCCTTGCGAAAGTTGCTTAACGACAACGATCGCGGGCCGCGGCGCTTATCCGCTACGCCACCGAGCTACTACTACTACAGTATTTTATGTACTGTAGGCATATTTACCTTTTGTATTGTCTATTCGTGCAATTTAAAAGATTTTTAATTATTGAATAATTTGGCATCTGCCCGTGGAAACAAGAAAAATTATTTCTATATAGTACAAATATACTAAGGATGATCGAGATAAAAATATAACTTATTTTCAATAACCCTATAACCAAAAAATGACAATGATTATTTTCCTATGAAATTGCATCATAAAACGAAATTCCAAAAATAGCTAATGTCCAAATTCACTATGAATTCATGTGGGTTATAAAAACAACGTAAAAAAACAATAACAAGGGACCAAGTTAATACAACGCAGTTGTACATCTGTTCTTTTAACAATTGGTCATTTACTTAACCTAGCTTCCAGTGATGGTTAAATTTTTTGACAAATGGTTGTAATTGTGACAAATGGTTAGGCTAACTATTAATCAAAAAACATATTTATCTGATATTTAACCATTTGTCAAAGATTTTAAAAAATTCAAGGCATTGAAATCCGGGCCAAAGTGCTGTGTTGCTTCCAGGGTGCCGCAGATACCCCTTGCATGCTCTAACACCAGGATCCCTTCATCCCCGCGTACGGCACTGCTGCGCAGGTCTTAGCGCAGGAGAGGCTCCGCACCTTGGCTACCACCTCTCTTGGCCTCCCTTGGCCAAGTGGACTGGAAGACTAAGCCTAATGATGGCAGATGACAGTCTTAGGGAGTGGAAGGTAGATTGGGATGAGGAAGGAAGTGATAGGAAATGATAGGAGAGATGATGGTTTGGGGTGACGCGTCTGACTATTTCAGTTACGTCTGTTTCATAGGGAATCAGACCAATAACAGGCGGCAACCACGTGAAGGAGATAGTCAGGCTTGCCTCAGGGATCTACACGACCCGCGCTCTCCCCTGAGGCCGTTCGCCAGATTATCACTTGGGTTTAGTGATAAAATAGGTGATGCGTCAGTTTGAGGCGTTGTACTGTATGCAAACTAACACATCCCCCGCCCTTGGTTCCCTCCCTCTCCCTCTAGGTTCTCTTCTGTGGTTTAATTTATTTATCTATTTTTTTTATTATTACCTCCTGTCTTTTTTTATTATTTTTTATTTTATGTTTTTTTTTTTTGTATTTTCCTTTACTACCTGAATCATTTTTTCCTTGTACATACTCATTTTCATCTTTTTCGAATTTCACGCGTGTATCGTGTTAGCGCATGATATTATTAGCGCATGTAGTTGATATCAATGGTTAAGAGAGGAAACCACTTGTCGTAACGTATTTAAATTACATAATAGAGCATAGTCCAGAAAGCTCAGATCCACGTTGAACGGGCGGTTGTCTACTTAAATGTAGCCCTACGAGTTGCGGTTTCATGGTGTACTCCGGTTCTGGTTCCTCGCCAGGTGGCGGGGGCTCTTCCTTCTCTACCTCTTGTCTACGACGTTCCGGTAAAGTGGGGACGGTTTTGGAGATATTGATCCTGATAGCGGTTGGCGGAGCTCGTACTGTGGCCACTTCCAACTGTGTGTTGCCGTCCAAAGACGATTGGACCGAAGCCTGTGTGGTATCCACAACGGGAGGGGGAGACCACTCTTCAGCGGTGATCACTGGCTCGTCGTCGTCTGTACACCAAAAAAAAAAAAAAGTTACTATTAGTACAACATTGTATTTCTATTTTCTTGGCTATAAGAGACGGTATAGCACAACCTACTACTTATGTAAGATTCAAGTTATACTCAGTCAGTTGTTGCACAAACGTCCATTAAAATTTTCATTACTTTAAATTTGACATTCATTAGAGCTAGCTTAAAGACGTCATTAAACCTTAATGGACGTTCGTGCAATTGACCGACTATTAGTCAAAGATATCCTACGAAGAATGTGTTTAATAAATCTAATAAAATAAAGCAATTAAACTACTTCGAATCACCATTTGTTTTTAAACCTGTTTGTTTACACGGCACAATATAGAATAATCATAACCCGACTAATGATGTACTGACCTGGATCCATGGGCTCCTGCTTGACCTTGATCCCGGAGAAGTCTATCCGAGCGAGACGATCGCGTTCAGCCCGCGTGGCGACCGTCTCATCATCCGTGTCCGCGTCATCCTCAACCAACACCTCCTCTACTGGCTCCGCTATGTATATCACGTCATCTTCATCGCCTTCGTCATCGATCTTTAGATAAATAATAATTATTAAATTAACATTAAAATATGTACTCGCACACTACATATATATGTATGTATGTATGTATATCCGTGTGGTATACGATTGTCCAACTCCATATTGTCTATGTATATGATATTATACTCACTTCAACCGGTTCAGGTTCCTCGATCATCGGTTCGATAACCTCCACTACAGACTCGCTGTCGGACTGTGAATCGGTATCTTCTGCTGGTGTCTCATTCTTCGTTAACGACAACTAATCAAAGAAAAAACGGTAATAGATTAATAACACATTCTATTGAAACAACAGCTAAAGCAATCGAGCAATCAAGCAAACAAGCAAACAAGAACACTCATGTACCTTGTAGTCGTCGAGGCACATCGGATGGTAGTTGTTGTGTTCGTGACGTACAGCGTTGCGTAGATGCCACTCCTCCTCGTCCTCGTGGTAGAACTGCTGAAAGGCGTCACCGCACAGGGCACAGTGATGGGCGGCGGGCGCTCCGGCCGCCACGCTCGGGACCGAGGCCCCGTCGCCTCCGGTAGAGATCGCCCCGCCCGTTTCAAACCAACTCTTTTCTATAATAAATGAAAACATCTATTATAGAGAATGTTCTATTATAGAGAGAGTGGGTCAAGTTTTTTTTGAAGTCAACCGACTTGATGAAATAAAATTCCACGCCACTGACCTCTTTCTTCCGGATGTTCGACCTCTTCGTACTGCAGCCAATCGGATAGATCGTAGTGCCAGCGTCTAGAGTGTGCCCTTCGCGCGGAGTCTCTGTCCCTTCGGTTTTGTCTGAAGTGCCAGTCCAAATGTCGGGAATACCGCACAGTGTGCTCTGGAGGGAAACGCGTCGCGCACCCGGAGCATTGCATGCCGGCGTACAGTTTTTCTACTAGACCTGGTTGCTTTCTGGAAAATATACATTTTGTAAGTAAAATAGATCGATATACATATATATACACGCACACTTAAAAAATCAATCACGGAGACGCAGCTGTAACCCTGTAACCCATTACTGTTTCGTAAGCGGCCTCCCTGAATATGAATAGCTCTTGAGCTCATATTTTTTAAACAATTACCTACCTACTTTGCAATTTAAGTGCAAATTTAACAAAAATATTATTATTTTTAATGAAAAATGCTTAAGAAACTTCTTTGTTTCGAGTCCCATACTCGAACCCACGACCTTTCGCAATCCGGGCGACTGTTCTAACCACTGACCTCCACCCAGAACCCAGGACCTAACAGGACTGTCGAATTTTTCAAGCACTTGTTACTCTTTCCCTTTACTACAGAGCGTATTTTCATTTCATCAATGTTCAGGCAATCCACCCAAACCGCAAAGCCGCAAGAAATAAGTATCTTAACAATATATATAAACCACAAATTTGTCAGTCCTGTTAGGTCCTGGGTAAATCTAAACCTAAGTTACACTCAATTTATATTTATTTTTAAAAACTGCACAAAAAATTTATAAATAGTATCTATATTTTAAAATACAGCTCTAAAACAAATTAAGTTTAATAATACTTACACTCTCAAAGTTTCCGGCTTCAAAAGATCAACTCTGTGTATGACATTCTTATCTTCTTTAGGCTTAGGTTTCATTAGTTCTTCGGTCTTTGTTGGTAATGCTTTCTCTCCTTTTTTGGATTCATTTGGTACTTGAATGATGCCCGTCGCTACTAGCTTAGCGAACAAGTCGTTCACATTGATATTATTGCCAAGTATGGGTAAGATATTTTCGGGGGGTTTTTCTTCGGAGCGAGTTTCTAGGCCTGGAATCTTTTCCGACGTGGCAAAGAGAGGTTTCCGGTCGTGAATATTCTCAAAGCTGACTACCGGTTCTGGCGGCGACAGCACCGACGACCCTTCCATATTAGCGACTTTTGACAAACCAGGCTTTACGTATTTCGGCAACGCCGAAAATCTAATAAAATATTTCACGTCACCCACGCGTATAGGTCTTGGCAAATCATCAAACTCTACCTCGAAAGGCTGCTCGTTTATCAAGACGGTCCTAAATGAGTCCACAAAACGAAGAGTAAACAATTTGCCATCGATTTGGAACTTCTGCACTTTAGCGTCCAAATACACCGGGCATATGTGAACAGCATTCACTATAAGGTTGATTTTTCCGGCAACAAGATCAGTCCGTTTTGTCTTACTTATGTCCACTCGAGGTAGCGGTCCTTCTAAATGCACCAACCTAGGCTTTCCGTCAATGATGACACCTAAAGGTTGGTGTCCACCAAAGATACACTCAAACCACCTCCCGTTTATGTACAGCTCTCTAGTTGGAGCACCAAATTTAATATCAAACACTTGGTCATCGATTTCAACCTTTTTGTATCCCTCATTGAAAGATAAAACTATAGAGTCCTTGTTGTCGAACGTGACTCTTCTACGTCCAGGTAGAAACCTTATTTCGCGTGGATCGTCCCAATCCATCATAATAATTGCGGTGTCTCCATAAAATCTAATCTCACGAGCAATACCATCGATCTGTATAGTTTTGGAAGGATCTTGATCAATATATTCCAGGACATTGAAGTCGGTGGGTGGTACGATAACGTCGGTGACACCGAGCGGTGGTGGATTAGAAATTCTCTCATAAGGTTGCAGAGGGCACTGTCCTTGGCACATTCCAATTTTAGGTTTTGGCAGAGGTTCAAACGGCGGCCAAACGCCACCTCGCTTATCAAACTTTCCTCTGAAGTACGGTGGACCTGGTGCTCGGAATCTTCTAGGCACATACTCCTCCGTTCGCTGTCGCGGCCCTCTCCAAGCAGGAGGGAATGGGTTCGGTCCATTCTGCTGTATCGCTGGCGGGATAGGCAACAGACCGTGTTTGGGTCCATCGATTGAATTTACTCTCATTACTGAATCAGTTGCCATATAGCTTTGATAATCCAGAGGAGTATCAAAAAATGCGGGTGGTGTGATTCTTTCGTCGATATCACCTAATGTATTAGGGGACGTCTTTCGACTAGGTGTTTTGTGATTGGCTTCTCGAATTTGAGCGTTGACTTTTCGTTTCGATACTTCCAATGATTCCCTCTGCTTAGCCTCTTTAAGTTGTAATTTCTCTTTCAGTTGTAGCACTTGATACATTAGAGTGTTGTACTGATTTTTATCAAGTCGACCGTCCGTAAAGTGCTCCTTAGCCTGACTCATAATTAAAGATATGGACTTTTTATGATCTTCTGCACCGAAATCTTTGCCATTCTCTACCCTCAAGTCTGTGTCTTCTGTAATCAATCTTGTAGTACGTCTTCGTTCTCTTTCGATACCTGAAATATAAGTAAAATTATTATAATTTTATATAAATTAGTATCATCATTTTATCATTCAATTAACACTATGACAATATTTCGTAATCCACTTTTATACATACTTGGCGATTTGCTAAACGACATCCGTCGTCCTTGCGGTAGTTGGCGAAGATCAACATCTTCGTTACCGAACAAACTGTAAAGAGTAATAAGAGTAATTAATGTAAAATGTATCATTTTAATGTATACTACTCAAATCAATTATGCGTAAGAAAATACTAACACATCAAACTTATCAACTTTAGTCTTCTTAGGTTTGCCGTCAAGTAGTTCTGCGGATGATCTCTTTAAGGCAACGGGGGCCGCTTTCGGTTCGGCCACTGCTGGATGCAACACTCTAAGGTCAACGTCCTTATTCTCCACAACAACATCGCCTACGCCTGCAAAACGACACGACACTCTTATCTTCATTTTATCTTGATCGACTTCAAACTTAATCTGTTAATGTTGAAATTCAAATTTAATTGCAGAAATTCGGTCTTTTATTGTTAGATTATTGTTATTAACCCTCTTAAATCTACTCGTACCCTCGTCCTAACGTCTGTTAGCATGGATCGATATCTTACTTGACGCTTCTGCTGCTTCCTTATTGGCGTCGGCGGCAGGCCGAGTGTCTGTGTCTTTCTTCTTTTTAGGAACGACGGCTTGCTCCTCGTCTGGTTCTCGCTCTCGCCGTATTTTGGGTATCGGCGGGAGTTTATCGATGCTTTTTATTTCAATGAGGCGTTCGAGGATGGATGGATGCGTTTCCGGTTGTCCTTGTTGGCGGTCGTCACGTTTGTTAAGACGCGGATCGCGGCGACGGGGATCGCGCGGGTGTCGCACGGGCGGAGCATCGGGGCGGACATCGATGGTGATAACGTTTTTGCGTTTAGTGACCCGCTCGAGAGGTCTCATATCGAATACGTTGGGTGCGATAGGTTGCGGGGCGACTAGTCGAGCGAGGCGTGGATCGCGTCTAGCGGATGCGAGGGCGCCGCTCACTGGCACGATGCGACCACCGGCTTTGTTCACCGGCTGAAAACAAATGTTATCGTCATACATCGTCACACGTCGGCAAACAATAGATTACGCGATCGATATAAGGGTTCGAATACATTTCTTTAAGACAGTCTGACTAGGAATTTTCAATCCCGCGGGATCTCGGTAGTTGCGGAATCCCACAACATATAGAATACATTACTATTAAATGAAAATATAAACCAAAAAACGTTTTCAACTGAATGTTGACAAACTAATAATGACTTTAATTATTTACTTCAGTGCGGGAACACTTCTAGAGAAGGACGGTATGGACAAAACGGTTTACGAAATCTTCAAGCTGCGCCTGAGACAATAGTGTGCTCATAGCCGAGTTGTGAACACTAACTTTTTATAAATGTATTACAAATTAACTTACCGGACCAGGCCGCTGTTTTACAGGTAAGTTGACAGGTGGTGCAATCTCAGCTGGTACTCGGGCCACGGTGGACACAATTGGTGCTACCACAGGGTTCACCATCGCAAACGACATTGTTGTTGGTGGGAAATCTGGCTTCACTCCTGGAGGCATCTGTGTTCGATAATGAGAATTCAAGATTTAAAATTGTGTAAACAATTTGTAAGAATCACGAAATAAGTACATTCTACGCTGTGTATTTTAAGTGTTTTTTGATTAGAATTAAAAATTTAAAGACAAATATATAATTAGTTTCGGCGTTGCACCGTGGTCCCGATTTAATAAAACAAGGACTTTGATTCTAGAAGCACGAACCTTTTATTTTTATAATAACTAAGAGAACAGAAAATATTATTCTAAACGACTATTTCAAAGAATTAGCCAAAAACTATTTTTTTTTGTATGGAAGAATTACATTCGATATGTATTAGAACTAAAGATAAATTTATGAAATCCGATCGATTTCTGTGCGAGGCACAGAGAGGATTCAGAAATGGAAGGGGATAGATAATGCACGGATCAAGTTTTCTCGCTCCGCAACATCGTAGAGAAGGCCGTTAATCAGAAGCTTTTCTGCGATTGTGTGGATCTATAGAAAGCATTTGACAGAGTAGTACGAAAGGAACTCTGGGCATACCGCCGAGATATGCCCATGGATCGACGGTGACGGTGATCGACTTCGACGAAAGATAGCTTCGGAGTAAAAATCAACAGAAACATGCTCCATTGGCTGGGACATGTAGAAAGAATGCCGGATGAGAGAACGATAAAACTGATATACAACTCGACAATTGAAGGATGCAGAAGCGGAGGAAGGCCACGACACACTTTTCATGATCAAATCAATCGCGTGCTCTCAGGTGATGTCAAAAACCATAAAAACCGGCTAGTATGTATGTATGTATGAAAATAGTAATGAAACCGGCATGAAGAAAAAGATATATAATACACACAGCATAATAACATATATCTTATAACATAAATATAACCGGGGCACGCTAGTACAATCGTCGTCAAACAAAAGCTAACTTAATTCACATTTTTCTTCGTTTTGGAAGAGTTCCTTGACTATAACCGCTAATTTTGTTTTGTAAGACACTCGCGAATAGTACACAATAAACCATTATTTATATTAGAACTCGATTTATGCACATCTACTTCCACGGTCTCGAAAATTGGAACGTTTTCCTTGGTGGCAATTTTGCATTCTAACGACTAAGTGAATTTTAGTGTAATAATTTATTTTGGCGTCTCAACATGTCTTTGATATACTGCTTGTACAGTTACTGCAAAATGATTTGATAAAACCGAAAAACCGTAAGACAATTAGCGGACATATTGTATGATATTCAAATAAAATCAATAATAAGAGAAAAAAACAGTATATCAAAGGCAAAATAAATAACGAAAACAAGTAACACTAACAAAAAACACAAATATAACGACAACAAACATTATTAACAAAAAAAAAAAAAATTATGAAAACTTACGGAAAATATAGCAGCAACACGTCTTATCACTACCACACTTAGCTGTATACTGTCGTCGCAAACGGGCGCACGCGCACGAGTGATTCCAGTCTTAAGGGCAATCTACGCGGTAGGTGGTCGGAGATCGGAGGTCCAATCACCGACCATCTGATGGTTGGCGGACCGTGTGAATGGCTGTTCGACCAACGTACTGTGTATAGGAGTGTTGCCACATAAGAATTACGGAATTTGGGGTATCTCGAAGGGATAAAAAATTATTATATAGGAGTTCGTTTTAATACGCTTCTCATTTTTCAATATTCATTTAAGATTATAAAAACTCTTAATGAAGAAAATTTTCGAAGTAAAACACTCTAAATGCCACCTTTTATTTAACTTCCTTTTATATGTAAATATTTTTTGTTTTTAGTCTCTCCAGTATGGCAACATCGCGGATGCACACTCCTCGACGCCACGACCAAGGTCAGCTGGTTGGAGCTCGACCACACCGAAGTTGGCCATATTGTTATTATAGGAAACTCGCGTCCTGGCTATTTTCTACCGGTCAGTGGACATATGTATGAATATAACATTGTATCTCCCTAAAAAAAAGCTTTCTAACGAAAAAGATTAGTATTTACTGTTTTTTGTATAGATATGCACATGTTCATATTGCATATATGTACGTATATTATGATTATGTATTATCCAGTTTGAAACTTTCTTCTTTTATTTATTTTGATCGATTTTTCATCCTGTTGTAACTCGCAAGTACGCAGAAACACTTGTTTTATAAAATATGTGATCATCTCTTCACATATTTGAAGAATTTCGAGAAATTAACCAAAATGTAATGTCTTCCACAAAAAAACAGGTTTTTTAATAAAGCAAATCAAATTGAGATAGTAATATTTTTTTTTACTTATTAGTTATCCTAGTCTTACGGCCGGTTTCTGAATTGAGAAAAGTCCAAAATATCAACTGACTATTCTCAACGACTTAAGTTTTTTTTTAACTTATCACAATGCAAACAGGCCTAGTTTTTATCAAACTGCAAAAAAAAAAAACAAATTGAGAAACGAAAACCTGTTTAAGTACAGTCTCGAGACGTGCTATTCAGAAACCGGGTGTTTTTCATAAAAAGAAAATTCATGCTTCTAGCGTCAATGAGAATGTTTTATTGAATCGGAACTTCTGTGCGTTGTTGCCAATAATTTGATCTGCAAACGAAAATAGCAATGTCGAAAATTGGTCGAGAGACAGAGTTAACATTTTGATGACTCAATAAAAAAGAAAACAATATTCTATACTGGAACTTTCATCCCCCCATCTCCATAATCTAGGCGGTGGAACTTTGTATGTGACTGCCGCAAATTATGATGCTACAGGTTTGCTAATTGATATAGGAATAACGTCCCTCGCTAGAATTAAGGTTAGTATTAATATATAAAAGCCATTTTCAGATACCCCGGATACTCGGACCAAATTAAAAAAAGTAGATATTTAATTTATGTCAGACCTACATAAGTATTTTTCTAGTCTTTACTAATATAATAACATGATCTTATTGATAATGACGTCTGTTGCAGTTATACAACTCGGCCCCTTGAAGTTAGAGCATAGCCTACCTACATTTCTCAGAAAATAATTGAGCAATACCGAATTAAGGCAAGTTCCTAGAAATTCCATTCAGAATTATGACCGAGCCAAGAAACAAAAACGTAAATAGGTATGTAGATAATATTCATACTGATTACCTGGGACCTAAACAAAGGACAAAAGGAGTTTTTTTTTGGAAGAAGAAATTATTATTATTATTATTACCATCCTACCACGAAATACATAAATGGTAATGTCTATCAGCGATGTGGAACAAATTGTGATAAATAATGAAGGGTTTCAAATCAAAATATTTATTTATTAATACTTTTATACCTAAGCATACCTCTGTGACTCTTACAGCCAGTTGCACATACATACATTATAATTGTCATTAGTTTAAAGCGACATTACCCATACGAATTTGACATCCATTAGAGCTTAAAGGCGTCATTAAACCTTAATGGATGTTTGTGCAACTGACCGTTAGTATGTATATTAAAAAAGTACCTACCCAAGGGAGTTTCGTAGGTTACTTATTGGTAGATATTATACTTAATCTGCATTTGAGTTTTATTGCGATTTGGATTAAAAAATATTAAGTATTATATATAAGTCACTATGAAATGGATGGTTTACACTTCTAAGATAAGATTGTAATTTTAAATTCTATTATGCTCATACATAAGTAGTTACCAAATTTTTGACTTATTCTCATTAGTGTGTTTAAAATTAAGTTAAAAATCAAGTCATCGACTAAATTACTTTTAAACCAGCCAGCCATATACATGTCTGGACAGGAATATAGGAAATACATTAAAGTGACGATTGAGCGTATGATAATATATTTTTTATCTGCGATTTCTAATTTAAAGTGTTTTCATCTATTAAAAGCTTTTTCTTTGTCAACTTTATCGACAGTTGATAAAAAAAGCAATGCCTCATATGGTGGTAATTCGTCATTTTCGGAATTTGATGATTACCCCAAAGCACCTTATTTATTTTTAACTGACTTCAAAATCGAAAAGGAGAAGGATATATGTTGAAACTTGCTTCTTTTATTTTTTAATTCGATTTTAGCAGTCGTTGTGATTTTAAATTATTCCTTTTTATTTGTGTTTGTGTTGTAAAATATCGATATATATACAAGAAAAAAATTTCATTCTTATATTTATTTTTATATTACCTATACAAGTTGTGTTGCTGGGTACTAACCATAAGCTGGAGGCGTCCAAAAAAGAAAGATTATCAAACAGCTAGAGAGAGTTCCTATGGAAATTTTAAACTTACCCTTGCTTAAATTTAAAACTCATATTAAGAATTGTCTACTCAGTAAATTATATAATATTTAAACGACAGAAATGCTTGGTGTTAAATAAGGCTTATTTTTATGTATATTAAATTAGTTATCAGTGAGCTTGTTTGAGTAGACATGTGATTTGATTGACGTAAATACTGTTTTAATTTTATATTTTCTAAAAGCTTTATATGTATATTATAGACTAATACTATAATAGAAAGTGCAATATGGTACAAACGATATCACATAGTTGTTAACAATAATTTAATGTAACAATTATAGTTAATGTTTCTGTGAATGTAAACAATAAACAAATATAATGTGTTAAATGGTTTAAAAAAAAAAAATCTCATCTCATCTGCTTTTTCAGAGCCAGTTGTGTTGTTTATCGAAGTCTATGAGTCAAACTTATAAAACTTTATTGTTCAGGTCGCAGGCGGATCGGTCAAAATATCAGAATGAAATTTCTAGAAACTTGCTGCCAATGGTTAATGAAAACTAATCACTATCTGGACTGTCACATCAGTCCCTATCTCACTGAAATAAAATATATATATCTGGGGAATCGGAGGAGTGGACTGGAAATATAAATCCAGTGACGGTATGTCTGTTGTCGAAATGGTAAAGGTTTTCTAAACAGCTTATCGCGAGACTAAACGGAAAAAAATAAACTCCGCATAAGATGAAAAAGAAAAATATCATAGGATTATGTCAAAAAATGTCACGTGGTCAATTGCTATAATTATTATGTATCTACCTTAATCAAGTTCGGATGCGGGTATGTTGCGAGCCAGTATTTTATTTTGATGGCCCGGTACCGGTACCGGGCCGCAATCCCGGCAAATGGAAAACATTGTACTACACTAACTAATGATTTAAAAGATATGTAATTTTATGGTGTGGTGAGATGAATAACCACCTGCAAATATCTACTGTCTGTAAAATTGAAAAGGAGTGAAAAGTAATCTGAATGTGGAAATCATTCATTGACTTGGGAGCCCCTTAAATATTTATGTTTTTTAGTATTTGTTGTTATAGCGGCAACAGAAATACATGACCTGTGAAGATTTCAACTATCCATCACGGTACATGAGATACAGCCTGGAGATAGACGGACGGCCGGACAGACAGGCTTCCTAAAAGGTAAAATTCTCGTCTAATTACATTTTGTGTATGGAACCTTAAAAAGAAGACATATTTCAATTCCAAACACTCCAATATTTAGAAGTCTTTTAAACAGATTTCAAAAAAGGAAGAGATTCTCAATTTGACTGCATGTTTTTTTCCACATCGTTGATAGAGTAGAATTTAAATTTCATGCAGTCACATTACGATTTACTAACCTCGTGGTGATTTAAT